AGCAACAGTTCCTGCCGAAGGGTTTAGTTAGGGCTTAAGGTTTTGGGGTTTAAATTTACAGCTTATTAATTACCCAAGTTAGGCTTAGGCGTTTATTTTATTTGTGGACTTTAAGTTCAGGCTCAGGGGTTAGTAAGCACCAGCAGGGAGGCAAGGTCTTTCAGTGGGTCTTAAGAGGATTAGTTAGGTCAGTTAGTTTGGGGAGTAGTAGTTTTCCAGATCAGAACTGAATGCAAATTTCCCGAGTGATGCTTAAGTTGATACTTCATCGCACAACGGTATCTGTCCACTGTGTGAACAGTGTATAAGTTATAATAAGATGCTAGTAGTCTGTAATTGATAAGTGAACCCATCAATGAAGGCTGATATGTTATGATAATGGTTATAAGCAACACATATAGCACTGTGCCCGTGATCCGCTGCACATTGCTGCCGAAGTTCAGGTGCTGGCGCAAGCTTTGAACGGCAGCCTCGAGCTTGTGTGGGGCAGGGGGCTCAAGGCCCTGCGACTTGCCAGCTCTACTCGATTGGAATTCAGGGTCGGCTGTGTAGCAGCTTGGGACATGTAAGGTTATGCTTGCAATCACAATAATGACACTGCGATCGTCAACGACACTGCACTGAAATGACAATGTCATAATGTGACAAAACCCAGTAGAGTATCAAAATAAAGACCTCAGACAGTGACTTAGTGAGAACATATGCAATGTTACAGTATTACACAAATGATGCTGGCAAATGATGAACCAAACTTACATGGGACCCAACATGCTCGGAGGTATCCAATGTCTATTCATTCAGACCCAGTTGAAGTCTGATTCAGCTGTCACGGACCGGTAATTTAATTGACTGTCCGGCCATATTCCTTAAACAATGTGTTTTATTGGGTTTACAAGAATGTAGGCGTGTTATGACATAGTCGATAACGTAAGACGATGCAACACTTGCTCAACATCCCTGTATGCCTAGTAGTGGCACGGCACCAGCCCCCTCAACTTAGTCTATGTCTCAGTCTCAGACTGGCTCCTAATAGCAATTAAACACTGCTATGGCAGCCAACACCCATGATTGTCAGCAAACCTCGTCATTTGGGTTACATTCTTTGTGTTCTTTCAGATTTCGGGTTTGACTCGGGCTCACTCCGAACTCCTTGGACACCCCGATAATAATGGCATCTTGTGAGTCTGAGATCAATATCTCAGGACGCCAATCAGGAGATTGCAGCCTCCACAAAGTGCGGGCGAGCCGAATTTGACGCCAGAAGAAGCCCTTGTGCCGCGCGATATCCGCGACCGTCCGCTGCTGACAATCGTGTCCTGCTGGCAAATTGGCTTAGTCACGACAGGCTGAAGTGATGGTGGTGTCACAGTCAGCTGTAGTCATGGGTTCAATCTGAAAGGCTAGCCTTCAAGCTGCTATGTGAGTGACTGTAGACAAGTTGACAAGAAGTTGTCTTCTGCGGAGCGCTTCTGATTGCGGCATGCACCCTATGTACTTGCGGCTCGAAATCCTACTAGTTTGACCAAGGTGGCGGACGAGGAGACATTGCCATTCAAAACAGCATTCGTTCTTTCTTACGAAATGCAATTGAGATTGCTAATCTCTCCAGAAAGCACTCACTCACAATGGAACGATTTGAAGTCGGCTGTCAGGCGGACGGGACTGCAGCATTGTCTGCTGTTGGCGTCGGTTCTAGCCAACAGCTCACACGGTCCTTTTGCCTCAGGAAGAAACTCCTTTACGATGCTTGAAGCAGCTGAAGGACTTTCGGCGACCATCTCACCTGAAGCCTTCAACGATCTATGCGACCTCATGCAAGAGGACCGATGCGACGGCCAAGACGAGTCGCACCCAGCGGATTTGCCGAGAACCCCAGCCGACATACCCAGTCTTCGGGCGCTTACCACGCTGCCTACTTATGTCTAGGCCCCAGAATCGTAGTCTGTTTGCAAGCTTTCTGACTCACTGACTGTCTGTCTGGGCATGGCATAAACTATCAGTCTTGACTCACTGACGGTGACTGCCAGCATCCTACGAACCGAAACTTCGTTACAAACTGTTAGGCAATGACCTAACTAATTACAGGATTCGGAGAGTCGATGATCAAATTGTTGTTAACTGCTCAATCTGAGAGCGCTAGCTTCGGATCTACGATACCAGTGAGCCTCTGTCTGTCTGTCTGTCTGTCTGCCTGTCTGTCTGTTTGTCTGTCTGTCTGTGTCTGTCTGTGTCTGTCTGACTAAGTTTAAGACCAGAAAGCCGAGATACACCCTGATTCCGCAAGCATGGCACACAAGTGCTATGTCAGGTGAAGACAAAATCCTGGTTTGCATCCTTGGATGCCATGGATTACATTTGTGACAACTGGACCGTTCTATCCACGGTCCTGGACTATGCACTCGAGCAGCTCGGCCCTGCCACTTGCCTTGGCTAGGAGATGTCTGTGGGAAGTCAGATTAGGGAAGGCTTGCTGTGTGACAGGCCAGGTCCGGAGTTCTGCTGTCCCCTCAGTACTTAGGGTGTGTGGGTCTACGTCTGTCCCACTCCTCAGAGCCCATGATTCAATCAATCAATGATGATGACCACGAATGACTAATTCGAGGATCTTACTTCAGCTATTTGGCGACTTTGATTTATGGTTTAGGGCTTTAGGGTTTAGGGTTTAAAAAAGTGTTCAGTCAGGGTTACAGTTTACAGCGATTACAGTTACAGGGCTGAGTCATAATTATAATTAATAGTCATTGAGATGACACTACTGACTGCTACGTTGGATATTCCAGGCTGTGTGTGCGATAACCTAATAATAACCGACATTTAGACAGTTTGTTACTTGGTTTATGTTTCTGGAATCCAGGATGATTAGTTAGTTAGTAGTGAAGGGTCCGGGCTCAAACTTCAGAAAAGGTAAATAAGAGCTAGGACTACACATTCGCGCGCACAGCCACATGGGGAGCTGCAACGGTCTACACAGTTGGATATGGGTTGCAATTCAGCCGTCCAGTCAACCTTTGCTGATCCGAGGCTTCTCCAATCCTGGAATTATCCGTTCTTACTTACTAGTCTCAGGTCTCACTTCACAGGCAAGGTTCGCTAAACAACAAGTACAATAGCCCCAGGCCTGAACGAACTCCCTGTTGTAACAAAGAAGTAGTAGCAGTAGCAGTGATTAGCAGCAGCAGCAGCAGCAGCAGCAGCAGCAGGAGTAGTAGTAGTAGTAGTAGTAGTAGTAGTAGCAGTAGCAGTAGCGGTAACAGAAGTAGTAGTAGGTAGTTGTAGTTGTAGTTGTTGTTGTTGTCGTGGAGTAGTAAGAACTAGAATTGCTATTATTATTCTTATTCTTCTTTAGTAGTAGTATCAGCTGTTGTTGCTCTTGTTGTAGCTGCTGTTCTTGATGTTGTTGTTGTTGTGGTGGTGGTCGTTGTTGCCGTTATTGTTGTCGTTGTGGTGATGGTGGTGGTGGTGCTGCTCCTGGTGGTGGTGGTGGTGGCCAGGGTGGTGGTGGTGTTGGTGCTGGTCGTGTCCATAGTTCGCAGTGGTAGTGGGAAGGCTGGTAGCACTGGTGGTATTATAGTAGTCGCCGTCCTTGTCGTCGTCGTTGTGGTGTTGGTGGTCCGGCAATGAATGGTGCCGGTAATTTATTTTATACAGTAAGAAACTAGTGGTTTAACTGCTGAGTTTCTAGAAGGTAGAAGTCGAGCAGCAGCTTCTGTCAGTTAACTCATTATGCAATTCAAGCTGTCACCCACTCCAGATTCCATTTCTTTTATAGCTAATGACCCAATAAGACAGTAAGTCAGCATCAGTGCAACTGCATTTCCGTTTGATTGTGAGCCTGCCAGCAGAGCTAACAGGCCCCTACTCTACAGCCACCATAGTCCTAACTTTCCAATATCTGTCCTCTGAATCCTGCAGCTCCTCGCAGCTCCGAGGAGGCTGATGACGACGTCGACGATGCAGAGGCCGAGGAGGGCGACGCGGCAGAGGCCGGCAATGGCGCCGGAGATGATGGCGGTGAAGCTGCCAGTGCACAACCAAGCAGACCGAACAGCAAGGCTGAGCTACAGAAGCTCCGTCAGGACTTCCAAAACACGTTGCATTTGTGCGCCCACTTCTACAACGACAGGGAGCTACAACAGCAGATGCGAATGGTCTCCACCGCCTGCCAGCCGATCAGGAGGGGCTATGTCGCATCGTTGGCAGAGCAGAAGTCCGAGGCCGGCGTTCCTAGCAGACATGTCGGATGACAAGTTAGGTCGGATCTGTAGCCTGAGCGGTGAAGGCTTACTCATGATTCCAAAATACAGATTCTCAGAATTCAGAATCGAATCCAGCCAGTGCCAGGGCTCAGCTGAAGCGACTGACTAACCTAACTAGTTAGTCAGCCCAAAGGTCCAACGGTAAGACTGACAGTGTCAGTCATATGAGTCCTAGGTCATAGTATATTCGAGGGGTAGTTAAGTCTTTCAGAGATGTTACTCTTGCAATCGATTTTACCCTGGGCCCACGACCCAGACTCACTCTCTGTCCGTCTCTGTCTGTCTGTCCGTCTCTGTCTCTCT